GATACTGAACCCCAAACTGCTCCCTGTTTGTGTGTGTGTTTAGTTTTCATTCTGAAGGGCCATCAGTGTATGAATGTGGGCCAAAGGGGTGAGTGTGGCATGTAGTGTACAGCGTGGTCGAAAGACTAGAAAGACACTATATAAAGTACAGTCTGTATACCATTATATATACACACACACACACACACACACACACACAGACATACATACATACATATATAGGTGGGGGTTTGCTTTTTAAAACAAAAGTCATGTCCACAACATCACAGATATAGACTATATAATTGTATTGTATCAGGGTCAAAGAGGCAGAAAAAAAAAAAAAAAAAAAAATGTAGCAGGTTTTATAAACATGTCATCACTTCAAAATCATCTTTATAAACATTCCTCATACAATTATCTAAAGTCACAATGTAACTGATACACTGACCGGTTACAGAACTAAATATTGGGTTAACTTCAGTGTTTACATGTTCTTGCTTCATGTATTAAGCTCAAGTATAAGCCCAGGAGACTGCATTGTTAGGCCCTGAGAAATGTGAGATTTTAAAGAGTGTAAAATAGAGTTAAGTTGTTGTGTCTGATCCATGTAGTTGATGATCCTGGTCCCACTTGTTGACATCTACTGATGACATCTTGTGCAGCCCCAAGGGGTGTTGACCTCTGACCTTCTCAGGAGGAAGGCGACACAGATTGGACCCAGCTACCAAAGCTCCTGAAGAAAACACTGCCCGTCCTTTACTCTGAGCATTAGCTTAGCATTTAGCCAGTATTTTGATCACCTGAACCGTGCTGTGAAGATCACGTGTAAGGTAGTCGGTTAACCAGGTCAAAACAAAGACGAAAGACGATTTTGTTGTGCAAATACATACCAGTATGAGATGATACCTGCCTTACAGACCTGACTAACTACAGCTACAGTCAAAGGTCGCCTTATTCGGAGGAGAAAGTTGTGAATGCATCTTTACAATGGAGCAGTTTCAGGCCGGGGGCCAACAACGCTGCATGTTAACAATGGTGGTCCTTTTGACTCATTGTGACTTTTCTTCAACACAAATACCAACGTAGACTAGCTACATTTACACGCACTCCTCTGCCGCTTACCTTTGACGTGAGGGTCATTTTATCTCCGTTTTGCGGCAAATTCCCGTCCAACACAAAGTTTTGTTTTGTTGCATGAAAACCAATGAGAGAGGTGGATTTAAAAAATTAACCGCTAGAGAAGCCGGCTGATTGAAAGAGTAGGGGTTTTAGTGATGGTCGGTTTAAACTCAAATGTGTTGTTGAAGACATACATGTAATTTCGAGATTCCGCTAACAATTATACATGTAAAAACAATCTTCGCTCTCTTCCAGTGTTTAATAAAAGTGTTTCTCTTTATGTTTAAGAGTATCTCTTCCGAGTCCCCCCCCCCCCCCCCCCC